CAGAGAGATACGAGCCTCTCCGCCGAGGCGGGCATTTCCTCGAGTTTTCATAATGTTTCATCTATTATTCAATTTGTCTAAGAACATTCCACGTTGACATTCAATGAGATTTGTTAAATTATATAGATTGAAATCTTGATTTTGTAAAGCTGACATAACAATCTCCTTTAATATCTGGGTATGGTTAGGTAAGTGACATACGCCACACGTGATATGCATGATTTAAATTTCCTGTATGTTCACAGCTTGTACCGTTAACATTGTTAGGTCATTGAAAACCTCTGATATCCAATCACTGTTATTCAATTCTCTTAGTTTACACTTTGCAACATTTGGTTGGTTGGTTGTTAACCCGGAAAGCACATTTTATATTTTCATACTGTGATTTAAGAGCTGCAGTTTATACCACAAATAAGGGCGAGTCAGACTGTCAAATGCTGATTTGAAGTCTACATAACATCTAAATGTTGATTTTTTGCTCGATTTTCTATCATTAATTATGTTATATAATGAATAAATTGTGTCTGAACATCCTCGATGTTTCCTGAAACCAGTCTGACAATCATATATCAAATTATTTGGATTCTAACCATTTATTTAATCTAGTATTTAAAATGTGACAGTAAAGTTTACTCGGTACGGATATCAATGATATACCTCTATAATTTGATAACTGTTTATCATCACAATTTGGTTTCAAGATTGGGTGAATAACACTTGGTACTACACAGTTGATGGAGAATTGTTACAGCAGTCTCATTTTACAAAATTTCCGCAGGTATTTGATCATAGCCGGAAGCTTTTCCATGTTTCAGTTCATTCACTGCCTTCGGAATCCACCGTATATAGCAGCGTAAGGCATCCATTAAGGCGGTTGTATCTTTCTACCTGTCCATTGGAAGAGGGGCGATAAGGGGTGGTACGGGCTCGATGTATTTTCAAAAAATCACACAAAGAGATAAATAGGTCACTTTTAAAAATTCCGGCCCTGGTCCGCTAGATCTCAAGCATACAAGATCACGATATTACCGTTGTCAGTCACTACATCAGTTGTTTGCCCAGCCGGGTCTATATTGGATAGCGCTAGATTTTTTAAAAGAGACAATCTTTTATTCAAAATTTTAATTGTATATAATTTATCATATATTCCGTTTTAAATATTTACCTTTGTACGAGAGTAGGGGTCACGGTGTCTAAGTGGGTAAGACGCTGACTCGCTAGCCTGGAGGTCGGGTATTCGATCCCTGCATTGGCCGAGAAAGTTCATCCAAATTATCCGGCGTGGTTCCCCCTTGTCAGTGATGCATGACGGAGGGCCTGACAAGGACAGCTGTCAAGTCGTTCAGATGGGACGAAAACCGAGGTCCCGTGTACACATTGGCGTGCACGTAAAAAATCCATTGGCAGTTCGGGAAAAATTTGCCGCATAGCACACTGTATGGCGTATGCCCGTCTTCATTTGCCCAGTTCGGAGCAGAACAGTAGGGCGTTAAACTCCATTCCATTTCATTCCATTAGTTGTTGTAATACCCATTATAATGATCGGGTGATAGAATTGTAGGTCTGATCCCGTAATGTCAAAACTGTAATTGTCTCCCCTATCACATGCTATCAGGAGACAGACTAGCAATTATTTGCCCATTGACTTCAATGTTAAATGGCTGATTGTGTTTCATTCTTGTGTTTGATTTTTATATTCATTAGAAGGTTTTAATAGGGATCCCCATGATAAAATTTTAACCTACGATTAGCTTTCGGAATGTCCAAGTGGGGTTAATTTAATTTATAGTGGGCCTATAGGGACTCGGTAACTACATGTAAAGTATATAAGGAATTGGTGGTGTCTCTGGGTCTAGCAATATAAAGGATGGACATTTTTGCGTGATCAACACGGAATTTCCATGTTTAGTTTTCTGCTATGTTCGTTATTTGCGTTTGTGTTGTGGTCATATGAAGGGGTGAGGGGGGATCCTCCAATACATATTTGATATTTGTCTTATAGTTTACAATACCAATAATTGTCCACCTTTTAGATAGCCAGACTGGCAAGGGATATGTTTTTAGAAAACCTAAGCTACATTAATTGTAGTTTCACGGATCTATACTGAAACATGTATCCCTACCGCCTAAACATATAAATGTTATTAAAAGATTAAGTTTAAAGCCATATTAAATAATTGATCTATTGACATTTAATTCATCTCTTTTTTCTCTATTGTACTATTGTCAGACTATACCAGGAAGACTGTGTAAATTAATGAAAGATTAAGTTTTATAGCCAGATTACATATTTGGTCTATGAACATTTATTTCATCTTATTATTCCTATATTGGCTATTGTCAAACTATACGAGGAAGACAATGTAAATTAATGTAATGTTATGTATTATACACTTTTAACCGTTTGTTGTACGTTACCTAATATTATTTATAATCCATTGTTGTGGAAATCTATTATTCTAAGAATGATTATATGCATATATATATATATCCAAAATTATTAGCACAACAGCAAAGCTGCACTACTTTGTTTCACGGTAAATGATGAAAAGATAAAAAAAAAAAAGGTATACCGACACAAACTGATTTCAACACTTGTTTAATAACATTTTAACATTTTAAAGTACTTTTCGTCCGTCTTGGGACTATTCATAAATAATGTCATTGTATATAGATGGACAGTAGAGTATATTTATACTTATTTACATAGTAACACTGTGGTTTTAATTGGCTATAGTTACCATTGTCTATGGTTACATAGTATATCGTTAACTAATAGAAAACATGTACACACATGTGTTAATCTGTAGTATATGGGTTCAATTTATGACGAATGAGTGAAAGATAATCATGGGATAGATTTAAGAAAATTAATGAAGCTAATGGCCAATTGTTACTTATTGACTATTAAGTCGAGGAACATATTTTTTAATAAAATGGTTTTCCATTAATTTCCTTTTCGTGGTGTCATCGACTTTCATTTTATAAAAAGGGAAAATTTGGAATTTTACTTGTAGTTGTTGTGCACATTTAAAAATATTTACAAATAAGGGCCCATTTTCAATATTACAATCCCGTCGATGGTTGCGTACTCTATCCCGTAGATGCGTGGACGTCTCTCCGATGTAAAAATTTAGACACCCATTGCAAGTCAAGACATATATGAGATTTTTGGAGCGTTCAATAAAATTCGCCATTTTGTTTTCAGATGACGCTAATTAATCGACAACTTGACCTATATGTAACTAAAAAACAAATATTAAAAAAATATCGACAGACAGAAATCCCAATAATATTTCAGTAAATACAACTGGTTAATTCCGTGTGTTGGACTCTTTATTGTAGTCCTATCTCAACCTCTACGAAATACCAATATCAAGTTCGAGACGAATAACTCCATAAGCAATGACCTTGTTCTTCGATAAATCTGTTGAGTTTTCAAATACTTTCAACTAGTTGCAGGTCAACCAGTTGCAGTAAAACCAGTTATTCTCTTTTGTAAGGTGGATTTGATGGCCGAATGGTTAGCACGTGCGCGCTTTATCATAAGGCCCGTCATTAAGTCAACTGGCGTGGTTTCGAATCCCCGGTTGTATGTGACAAGGAGTAGGGTTGCCTGTCCAACCTCGTGGGTTTTCTCCGGGTCCTCCGGTTTCCTCCCAGTGCTAAAGACCCCTACGCGCAAGCGAATTATTGAAATAAAATTAAACCATATGTTAGTCCCAAGATGACATGGTCTGTTTCGAGTGGACGTTAAACCCCATTTCTCTCTCTCTCATTTGTACGGTTGACATTAGCCCAGCTTAGCTCAGATATGATGTCCATAATACCTGCGGGTTTAAGCCAGTTGCTCTTAATTGCCGAAACACCAGTTTCCAAGGTAGACATAATCCCCACTCAATTCAGATATGACGTCCCTATGTTTGTTGTAGGATTAGAGGTTATCATTTTTGCTTTATGAATGTAGGTTCCAGGACTTAGTACATTTTACTTAGTTCGTTTAATCAATAGAGAATTACATGTTAGCAGAGGAGTTGATATCGCCAGCCATCATTCTGCAAACAGAGACCCATCTACTGCCATACCCATATCCAACAATCAGTATGCTATGTTGTAATGAAATGAAATAAAATGAAATGAAATGGGGTTTAACGTCCTACTGTTCAGGGCCCTTATTCACGAAAACTTAAACTAAGATACAATCGAAATTTTAAGAAATACTGCAATTCGATTGGATGACCAGTAAAATCAATTTGCATATATCCAATTTGCATATTGGTCAGCCAATCGAATTGCAGTATTTCTTAAAATTTCGATTGTATCTTAGTTTAAGTTTTCGTGAATAAGGGCCCTGTTCCTAAACAGGGCTAATGAAGACGGGCATACGCCATACAGTGTGCTATGAGGGAAATTTTGCCCGGGCAGCGGCGCTACGGTCTACTCTTATATCGAATTCCAACTGCCAAGGGATCTTTTACGTGCACGCCAATGGGTACACATGACCTCGGTTTTTCGTCCCATCCGAACGACTAGACAGCTGTCCTTGTCAGGCCCTCCGTCCTGCATCACTGACAAGGGGAAATCACGCCGGAAAATCTGGATGAACTTTCTCGACCAATGCAGGGATCGAACACCCGACCTCCAGGCTAGCGAGCCAGCGTCTTACCCACTTAGCCCCGTGATCCCCATATTTTGTTATGCGGTCCTACTCCGGATCGCACCTGTTATACACAAAAGACTAATTAAAGATTTCCAATGTTATTAAAAGAAAGCAGAACATATACGTCTCAAAATTCTCGAAATATACTTAGTGTTTTCGACTAAAATCGTCGATATAGGACTTAAAATATCGATCAACTAGCTTAGCGTCTGTTCTCAACCGTAGAGAGGCAGCCTAAGTTTAGTATGGGCAGCCATGCATCCTTCAAAATAATAGCTCATTAATCAGTTTCGGGTACGATAATCTTCCTTGAATTAAAAATTAAAAAAGAAACACATACTTTTAGAAATTGATTTGTTTATTTTGGTTGTTTTTTTTAATATTCATTAAAATACTTTACAGTATAACCAGTATTAATTATTATTAAATTTACGATCCACTTCAGCTTGAGTTTTCACTAAGTCATCATAAAAGGCTTGACTAAACCAAGATACACACTGATCCCGTGTCAAGATCATATCATCTAACAGACAATCACCATTATCTCCTATGACATCATAACAAAACTTAGGCACTTCTGATACGTCATTTAGTTGATCTGAAATAAAATAGTACACAACATACTCAAAAAACTTATACATCGCACTGATAAACATATGGCAGTTTATCTTAAACGAGGGGGTTGGATGTCCGAATGGCTAGCAGGGGAGCGCTGTATCATACGGTCTGTCATTGAGTCAACTGGCGGGGTTTCAATACCCCGGTCGCCTGTCCAACCTCGTGGGTTTTCTTCGGGTCCTCCGGTTTCCTCCCACGCGCAAGCGAATTATTGAAATAAAATTGAACCATGTGTTGGTCCCGAAATGACCTAGTTTCTCTCTCTCTCTCTCTCTCCCCCTCTCTCTCTCTCTCTCTCTTATGTTAAACAAGTCGCCTATTGGTTCCAACCTGGGATTAACTTCCACTTGACACCAAACTTGATCATTTCTGGACTAACATAAAGTATAACTTTATTTCAGTAATTTGCTTGCGCGTACAGGCTATTAAAATTGAATGGAGTGGACGAAGGACCCGACGAAAATCCATGAGGCTGGACAGGCCATCCTACTCCTTGTACAAGCTTGGGATGGAAGCCACGCCTCCTGACTCAATGAAATGACTGACTCTATGATCTAAAGTGCATGCGTTAAAAAATTCGATCACCCAGTCTCCCATGACGTGTAAGTTGCATTGGAGACATTTTTATATACTATTCAAAAAAAGTAGGGGATATTTGATTTTGGGGGCATAATACTAAAATATGCAAATGACTACGAAAAAAGTCACTATAGAACCTAACAGAAGAAACATTTCCAGTTACATGTGACGCCCAAACGCACCAATAGCTACCGCATGGAATGCAGGTGATGCTTGGGATCATCATGGGGGTCCAACCCAAGATTTGCACGACTCTGACTTTGAATGTTACAGTCATTGTGGCATTGAATTCCAGGGTGGAAACATCAGTTTAATTGTTTTAGTGACCAGAAAACAAATTTTGATATGCGTCGGCTTACCCAAAATGAAAGGTTACGTGCCCTTGGCATGCTACAGATCGGCACAACACAGGCGGTTGTGGCGCGGACGATGAATGTTTCTCAGTCTGTCATAAGCAGGCTATGGTCCAGATACCGTGATACACAATCTGTACAGGACAGACCACGCTCAGGTCGACCAAGGGCGACAACTCAAGCCCAGGATCGATTTATCCGTACCTTGGCCTTGAGAAATCGTGTCATCACAGCAAATCAGATCAGCGCTCGTCTTCAAACAGACACTGGTGTGAGAGTGAGTGGCCAGACGATTCGGAATCGACTGCATAGGGGTCACCTTCGCGCCCGACGTCCTCGCGTGATCCGTTGTTTGAGAGATCATCACATTCAGGCAAGACGTCGTTGGTGTAGGGATCGTCAACACTGGGATAATCGACGCTGGAGCAATGTGATGTTTTCAAATGAGTCAAGGTTCACTGTTGATTTTTTGGACAGACGTAGGAGGGTGTGGCGTCGTCGAAACGAGCGCTTCCAAGACGTTAACGTCATCAGACATGATCGATTTGGGGGTGGTTCTGTTATGGTGTGGGGAGGCATCACTGTTGCTGGAAGAACGGCTTTACATGTTGTTGCAGGGCGTGTTACAGGCCAGTACTACCGGGACAACATCTTGACAGTCCATGTTGTGCCGTTCGCACGACGTCATGGCCGCCGTTTCATCTTCCAGGATGACAACGCAAGATGTCACAGGGTCAGGATCGTTACAGGTTACCTCCAACAACAGAACATCACCACATTACCTTGGCCAGCACTGAGTCCCGACCTCTCCCCCATCGAGCATGTCTGGGACATGCTTGGACAGAGGTTACGTCAACGTCAACAACGTCCTGCCAATGTCCAAGAACTTGCTGCTGCGTTGCAACAGGAATGGGACAATCTGGACCAAAATGACCTTAGACGTCTCATTAGGAGTATGCCACGTCGGATCAATGCTTGTTTGGCAAACAGAGGAGGATTTACCCGTTACTGACTTGGTTGTGATGCTGTGGTAACTTTGCTGTTTGACCCCGGGTATCATTTTACCCTTATAATGGTCAGTCTGTGCCTTACTTAGTCTAACGATCATTTGGAATAAATCGATGAATGTGAACTTCATTTCATTTTGTCATTTGTTTCTTCGTCAGTTTCATTAGGTGACTTTAATAACACTTAAAAATCAAATATCCCCTACTTTTTTTGAATAGTATATATATTTTCAAATAAAAGATAGTCGCAAAGTTTGATGGAAAAGTTTATATTTTCTTATCTATGGTAATATTATTGGAACCTCTGACGTCAAAGTGAGAATAGTACCCAGTGCAAAAGCTTACAACAGTGCTAATGTCCACATATCCAAATTAACGTTTGGCACAGTGTAAATAGTCAGAAACATTATAATTATATTTCAGTTAGATATAAGTTTGTATTAGTTTATCATATGTTCCTGAAGCATCAGGGGGGTTGGGTGGCTGAATGGTTAGCGTGCGCGTGCTGTATCATAAAGTCTGTGGTTTCGAATCCCCGGTTGTACGTGACAAGGAGTAGGGTCGTCTGCCCAACCTCGTGGGTTTTCTCCGGGTCCTCCGGTTTCCTCCCACTGCTAAAGACCCCTTCGCGCAAGCGAATTATTGAAATAAAATTAAACCATATGTTAGTCCCCAAATGACCTAGTTTGTGTCGAGTGGACGTTAAACCCCATTTCTCTCTCTCTCTCTCTCTCTCTCTCTCTCTCTCCTGAAGCATCGACTGCGAGTTTTACAACATCTAGACTGGTCTGTAAGTCCCAAACTTAAAGCTACGTTATCTCCCTTTAACGCAGACGATAGCTTCCAATCAGAGGTTGTGACACAAACACACTCAAATCAAAAATGGCGACCTCCACGGAAACCTTACCATTGTAAAATCTTGAACATTGCAACTCGATTATCACAGGTAGACATTTTAGCTGAAAGCGCAAGACTTGGTATTTGCGATGATTGGGGAATTTGATAGGCTCCCCAGCTGGGTCAGTAGCCAATCGAAATTAGTGCCGAAATATGCAGGGTATTACGTGAAGGGCTTGATAAGATGTACGGAGATCAATTCTTACCAGAAAACAGAAGATACGCCTACCAGTAGCTAATTCGTCCAGGCACCTAATATTTTTTTAAAAATAGATCAGCTCATCGGGGGAATAACTTTGGAATAGGCATATTCCTAGGTAACAAACTTACAATTCAGAAAAATATGTTATTAATTGCAGCCTTTAAAATTCTAAAAATATTTCCGTACGAAGGGTCATAGCTCTAGGGTTTTGTAACCGCTAGTGCAAGAAATGTGACGGATGGTAATTGTTATTGGAATTCAGTGAAATTCAATGGGCGTCTTCCATTGAATGAGTTAAACGATTCATATGAATTTCACGAATTTCACAAAGATCAGATGGTAATTAAATATTCATGGGTAATAAAGGGGCATAACAGTATGTCCGTGTACATAAAAAGGGGTTTCGGATTTCCAAATTTACAATATTAAATGAATCTATTAATTAAAGTTCATACCTAGCATTTCCCTTGGACATCTAAAGCCCATATCTGAAAAAAAAAACAAATAACGATTATTGCCTTATTGTCTGTCAATAAACTCTTGAATTGATATTAGGAAAGTGATAAAACACTCTCTTTGCCTATTTGTAAAACTTGAAAGTTATAAAACATCCGCTTTCTCTATATATATTGAATTATCGTTATGCGTTATTTAAGATTTAGATACCGAGCTGGTTCTTTCTAAAATAGTATAACAATGGATAATACATTAAATACATTAAAAATGTAGATCAGATTGCTTTATTCTAAACCAAGTTATGAATGTTTGAAGTTTTGACAATAGTCTCGATTTTTAAGTAGCATAAACGGAGTCTAGATTTTCCATTTTAACGCTTAACAAAGATATCGTCTTATCCACTTTACATCTCAGTCATTCGATGGTCCAGAGAGTTGATTATGGGCTTATCATGTAAATAAATGTTTCAATAATTTACATAACACCTGCAATGGGCGGATATAGCTCTTATATAATGTATCTTTAATATAAAATATTTACCTTGGATGTTAGCAGATACAGCAACAACCTAGAATGATAATAAACACGTTTACTTTGTAAATTCTATCAATGATATTTTATACATTGATTAAACAGCATCTGACCCCATTCTCAATTCTGTGCCCGCATTATCATAAGGTGTGTCATTGAGTCAACTGGCGTGGTTTCGATTCCCTAGTTGCCTCACTATGACCCGTGGTTAATCCGACGCTGATTCTATCCTCTCTATTTGTTGAAATATGAAATGGTTTACACACGGTAATTTGCTATCTCAGCCTCCCCCTTTGAATATTTCTGATAATTTCCAGCCCCCAAGAAGCATTGCCTCCGAGCATATGACCCCCTCGGCCCTCCATTATGTGAGGGTCCTGCTTGCTGAAGATCCCTAATAGTAGACTGAAAATTCCAATGTCTCCATGAGGCACATTATTCAGTACAGATCACGTTCCTTCAGAATCAGAGAATCAGAAACTTCCACTGTTCTCAAATCACAGCTAAAGACTTACTTATTCAAACTTTCTAATGTCTAGAGTAGTAACTTTTATTTATTTGAGACTCATTTGTGTTGCGCTTTATGTATTTTATGTATGGAATACAGCGCATTATGAATATAAATATACATATTATTATTATTATCATTATTAATATATTGGGTGTATATGGATCTCACAATGTTCCATTCGCTCACTAATTAGGCCCTTGACCGATATGATAACAAGATATTGTTTGCTGTTTGAATCAAATAAAAGGAGCCTCATTAAAAGACGAATTCTACATCTTACATAGGAAATACACCAACAACGAACGTTGTCCTTTGCCAGACCCTTCGTCCTGCACCACAGACAAGGGGGGACCACGCCGAAGAATTCGAACACCTGGGTCGAACATAGGACCTTTTGTTTAGTGACCAACCTTTTACTCGCTGACCCATCTATATCTAAAGTAGGAAATGCACCAAGAACGATCCGCGATTTTTTAGCTCAAAATATAAATATATATTAACAACTTACCACAGCTATAATAATACACAACTTGTACATCATGATGAATATAGAAATTAATGGATACAATATTATTTATCTCTTACTTTATATAGTGCATGTGATAATAAAATCAACAATTATAACGAATTAAACGGGAAATCTGGTACAATTTAATGGCTGTAAAATGGACACTAGTTATTTATCATACAGACATTCACCAGATGGCGGGAATCTAATGCGTGCTGATCGGAAACTATTATCAAATAAATCTGGTGATTTATGGAGATGATAGAATATGATTTCATTTCCCACTGAAAATTACGAAACGAACAACGGTGTTTTATCGTTGATATTAAAATTATTTAGTACGCTTTAATAGCATAATAAATTAACATTACGTAATTTAAGTTCAGGGATCTAGATTTTAAAATATATTTATGTTGGTAAGTATATGTTTACCAAAATGGCAAATACCAGATAAGTCTTTAAAACAAGAAATTCATATGACATAATATGTCGGTCATTATATTTTGAGTCTAAACGAACGGTAAACTTCTCTCTGGGAGCCGAGATTGGGATGAACCTGTTCATTTTCAGCAATCTAGGATCCACAGATATATTATTATGTGTCCAAAGAGCCTTTAAAACGATCGAAATTGGATTTCTTGAAGTATCCTATATTCTTATCAAATTTGTTCAACATCGAAGTTTTCCTTTCGGATAAGCTGCAGTTGAGACAAAGCTGCTGCCCGGGCTTGTCTCCACGCTTGGCGTGTCTAACTTACAATTTTCTGCAGGGCCGGCGGAAGCAATTCTTGATAGGGGGGCCTCCATCCTAGGTCCTTATAGGCGTGGGTCCAGGGGCCGCATTAACCTGGAGAAAAGAGTACTTGCGGCCAAATTATTGGGAAGCTCCCCCCCCCCCCCACTCCGCCGGGCCTGATCCGTATTAAGACTTTACGTTAAACTTTTTTACATTTACCAAAGGAAAAGATATTTTAGTAAAGCATTAGATATTGATAAGAGCCTCGCCCAGATTCGATCCTGTATTGGGTTAATCGGGTTTTCGTATTGAACTGTTGTCATGATTCAGTATTTATCTATTGGTTTTACTATCAATCTGTGTGTCCTGCCTGTTTATAGATGGCCATGAACTATATCAAGGTTTGTACCTACATCTAAAAGCAATAGTCAACCCATTTATTTTATTCATCAACAGTAAGAGAGTGGGATTTTGCAAATGTTAATCCCGTTCACCTTCCCCATTTAGATATCATTAAAAAGACATAATCTTTTATGCATTCAGTGTGATCTACAGGCTTTGTGCATATTATTGGTATAGTACAGCATTTCGTTTTAAATTCTCGATAGACAATACCATCGTATTATAACATTGAATGCATTGGTCGACATTATGCTTTTGGTTTGAGGGAGGTTGGGTGGCAGAATCGTTAGCACGTGGCTCTGTATCATGCGGTCTGTCATTGAGTCATCTGGCGTGCTTTCGATTCCCCGGTTGTACGTGTCAATGAGTAGGGTCGCCTGTCTAACCTCGAGGGTCTTCCCAGGCTCCCTTCGCGCAGGTGAGTTATTGAAATAAAATTGAACCATATGTTAGTCCCCAAATGACCTAGTTTGTATCAAGTGGACATTAAACCCCATCTCTCTCTCTCTCTCGCTTTGGGGTACGTGACAAGGAGTAGGGTTTTCCCTGGGTCCCGAAATGACCTAGTTTGTGTCGAGTGGACGTTAAACCCAGAATCCCTCTCACTCGCTTTTGGTTTATGCTTGGAATTTCAAAGAACATATATTCTCTTTTCATTCGAATTAAAACCAGATCAAAATAGATCGTTTTTGTGAAATACTTAGATACCAGTTAAACGATAGTGTTCACAGTAGGGACGTCCACGTGCTACTGTCTTTGGAAAAATCATGTACTGTTACCTCTTATGTTCACACCTGAAAAGAAGTCCAGGTACTTCTACCGCTGGGGTTTACAGGGGGAAGTCCATTCACTTATATAGCTGGGGTTTACAACGGGAAGTCCAGGTACTTCTACCGCTGGGGTTTACAGGGGGAAGTCCATTCACTTAAATAGCTGAGGTTTACAACGGGAAGTCCAAGTACTTCTACCGCTGGGGTTTGCAAAGGGAAGTCCATGCATATATCTGGTTTTCCCAGTAAGGAAGGTAGGTGTAACTTGGTTCCCCTTGTCAGTGATGCAGCTGTCTAGTCGTTCGAATGGGCCGAAAAACCGAGGTCCCGTGTACATATTGGCGTGCACGTAAAAGATCCCTTGGCAGTTGGAATTCGACATAAGAGTAGGCCGTAGTGCCGCTGCCCGGGCAAAATATCCCTCAAGCACACTGTATGGCGTATGCCCGTCTTCATTAGCCCAGTTTAGGAGCAGAACAGTATGACGTTAAACCCCATTTCATTTCATTTCATTTTTTGAATAGATAGGTAACTTCATTAAGGGGGGAGGAGGGGGGCTTGGACTCTGAACTTTATTATTAAACTTGAAAGGTATCTGATTTGTTTGGAAGAGGATGGGGCCCACACGTGATACCCGAATCGACTAGACTGTTAATAAACTGTTTTATTGAACTCGGTTGGTGTTTGCCTTGCTTAGACGAGGAGGGGGTAGCTCGATGCCCATTCTACAATAGGACACACCCTTGACACCTGAATACGCCTGCACTGGAAAAAACTGCTTTATCGAACTTGATAAAAATCATTACGAAATCAATTTGCTCACTTGGCGATATTGTTTACAAGTTACACACTTTGTATCATTTCTTCGTAGAAATCTTACGAATCAATCAATTAATGTCCTGGTATAAGAAATGTGAGCCGAGTTGCCGTAGGACGAATTGTGCCGATAGCAGTATTCCATAATCAGAGTGTGTTACTTCATCAGTGGTGTTTCAGACGAGTCCTTTATTGTTCTGGGACTAATTGGTTTTAACACCTTTACAGGATTGGTGATTTGGTTGAAACAAATGATGTTGTGATTACTTGGATGTATATTTTATTCAATTTCACAAATTAAATGAGATCCATAAGTGGTACATTTTATATCTATAAGTGTTCAATTATATATGACAAATTTTTGGGTCAAGAAAATTCATAAATTTTCGGAAAAAGAATCAACCTCGTGAATATTGAAATTATGGTAATATAAACAGTATGCATGCAAAGTTTGGTCGATTCTGGGAGTAGCTTTTTAACTTGAATTAAATTTTAATGTTTTAAGATGAAAGGCATGCTCTTATTATACCACCATTAAGAGACCATTTTCCCGCTACAGTAGTACCAGGTTCGTAGTACAATTTTCGTGTTACATTTATTTTAACATCTACTATCTTGTAGTTGTGACGTACAGTAAAATAGACTGAAATATGTTAAAAATGTATGTTATTCAAAGACACAAGGTTTCCAAACCACAGTGAAGATCGAACATCAGGGACTCTTTTGTTGTATGACTCAATAACCGTTGTACCAAATACTACCTCAAGTTTCTCGAATTGTCCTATATGTACTTCAAGGTGGAATGTGACATTCTTGATCATTAGGCAGTGAAAAATAAAATTTGAACTCTGTGTAATAATCAAAATGAACGGATCTGAATTTCCACTGTCAAACATTAGTAATTATATAATTGCAGGAGAGATTGATAAAATTTCTATTCCGATATATACAACGTTTGGAATCATAGGAAATATCTTATCGTTTATTGTTTTAGTGTCTTCAAGTCTAATCAAATCAACAACTTGTATGTATATGTTCGTCATTGCTGTTTTGGATACAACAATTCTCGTCATCAATGCTTTTTCTTTCGCCTCTGGTTTAAGAGGAAGCATAGACATCGTTTGCAAAATGGCTTCCTGCTTGTTTTATTTTGCTATACATTTTGTGACGCTTTTGATTGTTGTCATGACAGGAGAACGGTATCTCGTTGTTAAACATCCACTGAAAGCAACAGCGTGGATAACACGAACTCGTACCAAGAAGATCATCTGTGTCGTTGGGCTGTTTTCTTTCTTTTTAAACGTCCATCATGTGATTATCAGAAAGGTTGTGTGGGATGACAACACTGGCAAATTGAGCTGCTTGTATGAAGGAAAGATCAATGTTTTCTTCATGACCAAAATTTATCCTTGGATCGATTCGGTTGTGTATTGCTTTTTTCCTCTGACGTCCCTGTGTATTCTCAACATCTTAATCATAAAAAGTCTACGAAATTCCAAAAATAACTTGGATAAATACGAAACGGGTGGAGCGGTGAAACCCAAGCAACAAAGGCAAATTACCATGATGTTGATTCTGGTTTCTGTGGCGTTCCTGTTTTTTGCTGGACCAATAGGTACAATGCTTGTTCTCGCTCAATATTCTTGGTTTCCCAAAACGGCACAAGAATGGGGCGACTACTACTTAGTGCAATCAGTAGCGCGGAATTTGATGTACATAAATCATGCTATGAACTTTATTTTGTACGTGGTAAGCGGTCAGAAGTTTCGAGAGGAGTTGCGGCGATTATTTAGTAAATTGATGATTTTCAGACACCACAGTAACGCCAAGATTACACCCCGTCAACGACAGATCTACATTTGCCACGACAGTGTCCACCCCAACGGAGATGTGTGATAATAGCGTTTATCACCCAATAATACATTCTACAGTAGATATCGCTTGTGTGATAAATTTCATAATCTACTGCGATATCTCCTTGATTGGTCAGTTAAAAAGGAAGTACTTTTTTTGTATTTTCAAAGAACAGTTCATTTTTTATTAAAAGTAACTTCTTTTTTTATTAAAAATAAATTATTTATATTTAATTAACCTTGATGGAAACACTGGGTCAATATAAAGGACTTTGCAATGGTTGAATTGCTGTCAAAAAATGATTTATCACTACGCCCTAATGTAATCAGGTTCAGTAAAAGTAAAGTCTATAGCAAAGAATTATTTTTATGCATGTAAGAAAGAATTGGGTGATAAATAAAATCTCTTACTCGTCTTTTTTGATATCAAAAAATACTCGTAGGAGATTCTCTATATAATCCGTATAAACATTGAAACGTTTATCATTCAACAAGGGACAGTTAGGTATAAACGTGCGCTAGAAATGTTTGTTGACTTTGTAAACTGCTCTTCGTGTATGAGCGTATTTCTGGTGGACTATATTTCTTATTGTTCACTCTTTTTAAGAATGAATAGGGATTTATTACAGGCTAATTTAGTAATTAACCCTGTTAAAATGAAATGAAGACGGTCATACACCACGCAGTGTGCTATATTCCGGCAGCAGATCGACAAACCTGAAAATAAAGCTCACATAATGTTTTTTTGATGGATTATATATCTTTAATAAGTGTTGAGTCGAGGCTTAAAATGGACAATTATGCCCCGACAGTGACTCTAAGGTGTACTCATAATTTGATTTCCCAATGCCGGGGGATCTTTAGAGAGAGAGAGAGAAAGAAATGGGGGTTTAACGTCCACTCAACACAAACTAGGTCATTTCTGGACTAACACATGGTTCAATTTTATTTCAATAATTCGCTTGCGCGTGGGGGCTTTAGCAGTTGGAGGAAACCGGAGGACCTGGAGAAAAACCCCGAGGTTGGACGTGCGACCCTACTCCTTGCCACGCACAACCGGGGAATCGAAACTCCGCCAGTTGACTCAATGACAGACCGTGCTAACCATTCGGCCATCCAACCCCCTGGGATCTTCAGAATACTCTCGACAGAATACATGGGATATAGAGGAACGTTTGTAGCCAACACCGTAATCGAACCGGTGACAGTCAGGCCAGTGAACATATACATTTCCAGACTCTTTGACGCCAGAAAGACATTCAGACCTTTAAAGCACTAACATGACAAAGCCTCTGTGATTTGGAGAAACTTTCCTAGCCTACAACGGAATCGAACTTGGTTATTGAACCAGCTTCATACTCACCGAGCTTTCGTGGCCCCGACCATGTTTAGTGTCGTGTATGTGAAACACGCACATTTGCAACGCCAGAAAGACATGCCGAGCTTTACAGTACTTTACATTCATCTCTTTGATTTGAATTTCATATTATATTGAATTGTTTTGTTGGATGACAAACACCCTTCGTTGAAACCTTTAAGACTGTAGATAAAGTTAATCTTGAGATATAATCGATTGTGTATTCGACAGTTGACACAATAAGCCAAATTATAAAATTTCACTTATCTTTAGAGACCACAAAATTTAATAGTTGACCTCGGTACCCTTTATGATTGATTTTGGATAGAGATGGCGGGAGAAAAATTGTTTGATATTAACAGTAATATTCTTATACCCCTCATTTGGATGGTGGGTGGGGTGGGGGTATCGCATCATATCAGTATAGTGATATAATGGTCCGTTATACCCTTCATCTGATCCTGGATAGGGTGATATCCCCAGTTGTATATTGGATTGCTATACTCATATCTTTGATTTGGATGGGGTAAAGGTGTGTGTGTGTGTGTGGGGGGGGGGGGGGGTATCGCATCATATCAGTAGTGATATGATGGTCCATTATACCCTTCATCTGATCCTGGATATGGTTATATCCCCAGTTGTATATTGGATTGCTATACTCCTATCTTTGATTTGGAATGTATTTTATTGTATGCCTTATCTTCGTGTCTTTGTAGATGTCAAGGTGTAATGTTGATGTAAATAAACGATCATAGTTTCATTCCATTAGTCTTGTATTTATGATTTTAATGCGTTGCGTAATATAATGGATGCTTACATGCCATGTGTTAAGTGTGTTGACATTGTGTTGACATTCTATAAAAACCACCATAAACTCTCCGTATGAGAAAACATTATATTTTATTAGAGAGGGAGAAGGGTTTAACGTCCACTCGCCACAAACGAGGTAATTTCGGGACCTAGCATATGGTTCAATTTTATTTCAATAGTTCGCTTGCGCGTAGGGGTCTTTGTCAGTGTGTATGGGTGGGGGGGTCACGGTGGCTAAGTGGGTAAGACGCTGGCTCGCTAGCCTGGCGTTTGGGTGTTCGATACCTGCATTGGCCTAGAAAGTTCATCCAGATTTTCCGGCGTGGTTCCCCGCGTGGTTGTCAGTGATGCAGGACGGAGGGTCTAGTCGTTTGGGTGGGACGAAAAACCGAGGTCCCGTGTACACATTGGCGTGCACTTAAAAGATCCCTTCGATATAAGAGTACGTCGTAGTGCCGCTGTCCGGGTAAAATTTCCCGTCTTTTTTAGCCCAGTTCGGGAGCAGAAGGAAACCAGGCTGGAAAATCCGAAGGAACCGTCTTGGCCAACACCGCGATCGAACCTGGGACCTACTGGATAGTGAGCCAGCGCCATACTATACACGGCGCTACTGAGGCTCCAAAACACTCGAGATAGAAAACGATTTGAATGTTACATTTTTATATTCATGCATTTATATGTCATTTCTTGGAAGAATACCATGTTGTGCTTCAAACGCTTCCAATCATATTCGAATATCCAGCTCAAACCTATATTTTGTTGTATTTATTTCATTTCCCTTTACATTACGTGACCGTGTGTCCGCAATTGAAGAGAAAGTCACCTGTTTGTGTATATAAAATACTCAGATCTTTGAATTGATTACGATAAGTTGTGTCTTGGGATTTTCATTACAACGATTTGTGCTTTCCACTTGCAGAACCATGTGAAAATCATTGAACGTACCTGGGCATAGATACAATAAATATTTGACCTATCAATCTTTATCACATATTCCAACCTTCTTGGGTGCCAATTGATTCCTCCTTTCACTTGCTGTTTATGTCCATAACAACATTGATTGACGGAAGAAAATATATAGACCCTACAAAAACAAAACTTTCTTATATGAAAGAACAGTGCGCCACGAATTTCTGACCGATATTTCGAATATAAATTTCAGTGACAAGTTGTACTTTTTCTCCACCGGTTTTGATTGATAACACATAAATCTTATCTGTTTCAATAATTGAAAGGATGGGCGTGCATTCCGTAGATACATTTTCTAATATGACGAATTACAAACTCTCCAGGGATGTTAATGCTATATTCGTGCCTATATACACAACAATTGGAATTGTAGGGAATATCTTATCGTTTATTGTTCTAGTGTCTTCAAGTCTAATCAAATCAACAACTTGTATGTATATGATCGTAATTGCTGTCCTGGATACTTTCATTCTGATATTTGCAAGTGGCGTCTTCGTGGATTTACCTAACAAGGATGTGACAATTTGTAATTTGACCAGGTTTCTGTTTTACTTTTCAATACATTGTGTGGCGCTTTTAATTGTCGCGATGACATTCGAACGCTACATTGTTGTTAAATATCCACTTAAAGCAGCTGTTTGGGTCACCAAAACACGTACCAAAAGAATCATATTTGCTGTTGGTGTATTTTCATTCCTTATTAATATTCCAAATGGAACCTTGAGGAGCATCGCATATAATTCTGACGCGGGTAAACGGGGATGTCTGTATGAAGGTGAAGCAAATGTTTTCTTTTTTACCAAAATCTACCCTTGGATTGATGCGATTGTTTATTGTTACTTTCCAGTATCTTCTTTATTTATTTTGAATATCTTAATCATCAAGAATCTCAAGAGTTCAAAGGTGAATATTAATGAATCTACCAACAGACACAGTGCAAGTAACAAACAACAAAGACAGATTACTATTATGTTGATTTTGGTGTCTATTGCTTTTCTACTACTGACGGGTCCAGTGGGTGCCATGTTGGTTATTCAACGATATTTGTGGATACCTAAAACACCTGAGGAAATGGCCAGGTTCCATTTGATACATGCATTTGTTGATAATATGATGTTTACTAACCATGCTTTAAATTTTATCCTCTATGTTGTCAGTGGTCAGAAGTTTCGACAAGAGCTTAAGAGAATTGTTTGCAACAATATATTGTGTAGACGCCATTTTAAAAAGAGGACTGCGCGACGTGAAAGACAGGTCTATGTGAGCCAACTTGACGGCTTACATTCGGCAAGTGAATCAATCAGTAATCAGTAAAATATATATAACATAAGATGGTCAGTGTACTCGTAACATAAATCTATTTGATACGTCAAAGGCGCGTTACACAATCCAAATGATATTCAGTGAAAATGTTAAATTAACCCTTGAAAGTATTCTTTGAGGACTTTTAGAATGGGGCTTGTTTCGTCTGTACTAATATTTATGACTGTTGTCTGTCTGTTTGTTCAGGGTTGGCGGCTACACTAGGGCTGTCCCGAGGCTACAATTTGGTGTATGGGGGCAGCTCAGAACGGGTGTAACATGCCCTATGTGTCGGACTACGGCTTCCGGTTTCGGAGTTATACTACTTTCAACCCGTGCAGCTCCGGGTCATCCTCTAGTGTCACATATTTTGAGGCATTTCCCCGAGATTGGTTATAGCAGTCTCCGCCCAGAACACCCGGTATAACTTTGTAGGTTGGGTAGGGGTTATATGGTGGTTTTGTATTTGTATTTAGTGGTTTTACTGTGTTAACCGTGTGCTATGAATGTGGCTGTGTGTTTTCGACAAACAGTTGGAGAAGAACAGTAAGACGCTAAACCCCATTTCATTTTCGTTTCCGACAAACAATTCAAATTAGAACAGGACTCTCATTTAAAACGATTTATTATTTGATCTTAAACATGACTTTTATATCTATATTGTTTCCTGTCTTGTCCGAATAGATTAAACAATAAATAAATAGTAATAAAATTATTATAAATATATGTGAGTATATTAAGCTTGGCTTAAAGGGGGTGTTTGTGGCCAAGAAACATTTTCCGTCATCGTCTATTTATAATGTTCATATAATATAGTTCATGAATGGTTACAACTTTTAATAAAAGTTCAAATGAGCAAGAAATTATTTCTTGGCTCACCGGTCTTAATATTGGATAACTGAATGTTTCGTCCATGGTGAAACCTGAAGACATATAATCGTTGATGTGCAGCCGCACATACAGTAGGCGGGAATGACATTAACAGAAATACTTAGAACTTGAAGACTCTACGGTAGACTGAAATACAATCCATTAGTATCACTATTTGTATAAGTACCCGACAGGGCCGTAACTAGCTCAGAGCAACGAGTGGGGCCGGAAATGTTCACAGGAGTGCTGTGAAATTGACGGACAATATGATCGACAATTTTTTCACAGGGGTGGGGGCGAAACTTTTGCGGCCTGGTACGCGGAAGTTGCTGCTGGAAGGTATCATGGAAGCTTGCTCGTATCCATTCTGATGGTCTTTCGAATACAGAAAATTGTAGTAAGGTTTCCTGTCAGCTTCAAAATACGTTGATGATTTCCAATTTTACAAACATCACCACAATATTTTAAGTCAAGTTCATCACTGTTTGTTCATTTTTTTACATTATGTACACTTTTGTTCCCGTTTGCATGAAATCTAGTCTGTGGTTTCTGGAAGAAAAAAAGAAAAGAAAGCTTGAATTAAATTCAAACTGATATGAAGAATGTCATATGTTGGAACAATCTGATTAAAATACAGATCTATATTTCGTTTCGTTTTTTTTTATACTTTCGATGGCCTACACTACATGAAGATCTGACCGGTTGTAGCGATAGGTCGCGTCAGTGGTCATACGAGAGGCTTTTGACCCTATGACGTCAGTCATTTGATTAACCAATCAGCATTGATGTTACTAGTGGATTACCCAGAGTTCGTGTAAAACACGCCTAAAGCTCACCGTAACAGACCGTTTCATTGGCTAATCCCTCACACCATTCAGAACCCGTCAATGATAACAACTTTTCAAGATCCTAGTGTAGTGAAGACAAATAAAACGAAATTTTGAACTATAAAAACGAAACGAAATAGGATCTGTGTTTCAATCAGATTGATGTTGGAAAACGGGCGTATGCCATGGACTGAATAATGTAGGACAGCAGCGTTTCCGTCTGTTCTTAGTTGAATTCCAGTTGTTTTACGTTCAGCAACCAGACTAAACAAATCCCGATGATCTTTCTCGTTCAATCCAAGGATTTAGTCACTTACAATCAGCAAAAAACTGGACAAAACCCGAGGAACTTTCTCGGTCAATCCTTGGACTGAACCAAAGACCTCCTGATTAGTTACAGGCAATAAATTGTATTTACACATTAGTTGAATGGTACCCCCATGCTAACATTTTTGTTTTTACTGTTTGCGTTGTGCAGCTAAAACTAATTGATTTAATGTATTTTATTTTCGTTCCCTATCCTGGAAATTTGTTTTGACCTAACATACTCACCATAAAGATTAACAACTGAAACTTGACTACCATGATGATTAACTCCAACACATTCATAATCTCCATAGTTCTCATCCAGAACTGATCGTATTCTTAATTTAGAATGAAACGTAAATGAGTCCTTTATCGTATTAAACGCCTTATATTTATAACCGTCGTAAATTCTACTACTGTGCCTCTTCCAGTAAACGGAAGGTATAGGATCGCCAATTGCTAAACATTCCACATATACGTCATTTCCTTTTCTCTGTCCCACTTTCTCTTGAACCACATTTACCCGGGGTGCACCTGAAATAAAAACTGCTATAGATCACTAAAGATATCCTATTGACTTTAATGTTAATTCTCGTTGCTTAGACCGACTCTAACTTTTTCCCCAAGTTTTCGTTGGGTAAAACGCTTTCTGCCACAGACGGACACATGTGGCAAACTCTTGCCCAAAAGCATGTATGAGGTTCACCATGAAACACTTGAGATACACAAGCTGGAAGTAGAGAAAGGTAAACATGCAGTTTTCGGCCCTACACATCAACCTAACCAACCTCTCAACTTTTGTATCCTTCCGCCTCAAAATCATGAATATTCACTAAAGCCTGGCAGAAAATGTATTTTCAAACCCTTTTCTTCCATTCTACACCTAAAAGTCAACAAAAATCGCCATGCAAAAGGGGGAAAAGGGAAAGGGAGAAAAATACTAAAAATAACTTGTTTCGTGGGTGACGGCGTAGAAATATTTGGTGACGTAGAAATTTTTGGTGATCTGTGTCCAAACGAAAGTAAACAATAAAGATTTAGAGACATGGATATGGAGGTTAACGTCTAATGAAGAAACCCTTGCTTATTTCAGGCCTAACAAATGGTCAATTTCACCTAGCGCTTAGAAACCCGGAGAAAACCCATTGCAACTAAAATAGAAACGAGAGCGAGGGATAAAGATTAAGTAACAAAGAGCGCTCAGAATTAATTCAGTTATACTCACTATTACCTATGGAGGGGAGGGGAGGGGGCGTGATTAGACATTTTTTCTATTTTCCTAAATTAATAGTTATAAAACAATGTTTTCAAAGTTGAAGATATTAAAACATTTAAATATCTTGGAGAAACAAATGTCAATAGAATTCCCATAGCATCGTTAAAGGTGGACAATCCGACCTACTCAAAACAGGAATACTGTTACTACATTATGGCAACAAACTGTGTCCAGTCTCTTTTAATGATATTAAATACACTATAGTAAGTCATCTACAAACTTATGAAAACCCCAACACTTCTCAAATAAAACGTTTGAAATATGTAGGCTACCAAATTAACGTTTGTTTAAAGTAAGGAACATTAATAAAGGATAAACAATCGACATTCGTCAAACTTATTGCTAGTACGAATTATTCTGCCTTGAATAAACTTATTGCCACTCTTAGCCTGACCCACTCCGCCCTTCTTCATGTTCTCCGTAATCTCAGATGTATAAGATGTCTTACCGGGACCACTGGGTACAAAGGGTGTTGTTGGTGGTGGGATCGTTGTTGCTTTAGCTGAAACAAGAGATATATGAAGTTAAAGAAGGTGTTCATTCTGTTCTTCATTTAGTATTCCGGGGCGGATCTAGGAATTTTGAAAAGGGGGGTGGGGCGCCGCAAAATGAGGGCACTGACCGCGGAGGCTCCCAAAGAAAATTATACGTCATTTCCTGCATCTGTAGCCATTCCAAGAGCTATTTGGCTGATATTTTCGTCTAAGTAAACGTTCGGAAATCGTTGAAAAAGAGCCTTAAAATCGAGCAAAACAGCCAGTTGAACACGCGACTCTAAAATTGTCAAGGCGAGCGAGGCATTATGATGGGAAAAAAGACGAATCTATTCCCTAGCCACTTCACTATTTTAACAAGATGCTATCATTGATGTCTGTCTATAGTCACTCTATAGGATTAGGGCACCGTCAGCTAAACAACAAGAATTCGTTTGAAAGTGGAAGCATTAATTAGACCAGACTGGTGTGTTTGAATCGATGGTTTGAGTCATTTAATATCCCTGCAACGGGTTGGGAACGGACATATTTGGGTCTGAGAAAAGGCACTTTCAGCAGTAAAAAGGGGCACTGTCGAAAATTAAGGGGGGGGGGGCGCCCCCCCCCCCCTTTGATCCGCCTCTGGTATTATCGGACTTCTTTTTCTTATTGTGTTTGTTTCTTCGTGATCGTAGCAAGTCTACAGCATGAATCGTTTTACAACTTTATTGCTAAGCTGTAATGGCTTTGACGGTTCCTCATTCTCAATAATAATGGCTGCTAGGAATTTCTGAATGAGCTCTGATCCAACTCGCTCTACACCCTAATTTCTGTAGGTCTTCGATAACCTTGACGGTAATTTCCATTCCAAATAAGGAATAAACCTCTTTATTTCACACGACTAAAGGAGGAGACATTACCTTATTTGGTCTACCAACCATAGGTCAATTCATAGCCAGAATTTGATGGATATCTTGACAATGGTTATGATTTTACCAAAATATCACGGTTTTTTATGTATAACTATATATTCACGTTCATTAAATACGTGTGATTTGACTCTATAGACAGAGTGAAGCAACAATTTTGCAAAGAACCAAAATTGTCTCAAGGACCAAAGTGTTACATTCATACGAGCAATGTATACAAACAAAGACGTCCATTAAAATCAAATGTTACGAAATCTCTCAAGCCCTTCGTTCAGACGCCGCCGTCACTGTTGACTAATAAAATCAATATGTATAAAGATAATGGAATGTAATGGAATTTAATATCAGATTGAAACATAATACGTCGGTCGATAGAAAATCTTTACGTGTTCAATGTTTGCGAGGAGCATTCTGACTTTCTGCAAACTCAAATTTCAATAGACAGGGATTTTGTTTAAATCTTAATGTCGTATGTGGTAATATTGGGTGAGTATCTTAGGGGTATAGGGTAGTATTGGGTATATCGTTCTGAACGTAAATACATACTTTGTCCACATGGCTTTTTTATTGATTTTTTATTGTTCATCGGGATTTTCCGGCGTGGTTCCCCCCTTGTCAGTGATGCAGGGCGGAGGTCCTGACAAGGACAAATGTCTAGTCGCTCGGATGGGACGAAAAACCGAGGCCCGTGTATACATTGGCGTGCAAGTAAAAGATCCCTTGGCAGTTTGAAATCGATATAAGAGTAGGCCATAGTGCCGCTGTCCGGGCAAAATTTCCTTCATAGCACACTGTATGGCGTATGCCATCTTCATTAGCCCAGTAGTATAGGAGCAGATTAGTAGCACGTTAAACCCCATTTCGTTTCATTTCGATTTTTTATTCTAACCCATCTTTATATAATTAAACAAGACTAACCATTAACTTCAAGTTTAATTTTCCCTCTTGATAATGGTTTTACTCCATTTTTTCCTGTACAATAATAATCGCCAGCATCTTCTGTCGTCACATCCGTTATTGGTAGAGTCATACCTTTGTGCCTTAAAACTGTAATATTGTGTCATGGTTAAAGTACAGTCTATAGCCATATGCCCATATTTATCAAATTTAGGTCATAAACATTTCTTTAAAGTGCGATTCTTAACAATCCGGTGAAATTCGGTTGCAACTGAACATTATTATATCCTACGCGATCGATGTTTATTTCCTTTCAAGAAGGGCGCATTTCCTTCGATTTCCGAATAAGGCCAATCCCACTACTATCAGAATATTGGGTGATTTGGACAAAGGTCGAATAATATTTTAAGCATTCGAGCAATGGAACAAAATTGTATTGGCTCGTTCAGGCGGCGTTATTGGTAATCTAAACTGTTTTTGCAGAATTTAACATTTTGGAGCAAGGGCCCCAAAATGAACAATACCCCCAGGGTTGAGTTTTTCTTCTGTTTACAATTAGAAGGCTTTAGTGACAAGGTAAATTAAACTGATTTTATGAATTCGGTAAAAACACAAAATTAAATCAAGAATCAAAACAGACGGAGTTCACTAGTGCAGTGATGGGTCGACACCCAAATAGATCTAAGCAGTATTGTATACTCGACATTTATTTTGCTTTTTAAGTTACCTTCTTTCTTCTTCTTGCCGTCTCGTATGACACGTCGATACCAGGTAACCTTTGGTTCTGGAAAACCTTGGAATAAACATTGTAATTCCACTGTTTCTCCTTCCTCTGCAGTTTTCTTTCCAGTTGGTAGATTTAAAAACGGTGATGACACCGATGGCCCTGATAAGAAGAAATAAAAAGAAATATTATTAAAAAAATATCTTAGATGATGGTCATTAATTTAGTGGATTCATTCTGGTGACATTTCTAAACGTTTCATATGCATGTTGTCTGAATAATCCTTATACTTTGAATAAGGTGGGAGGCAGTGGGAGCATACCACCAAAGGGCATTAAGTGGTTATTATTATATTCTCACCTGCATTTTTTAATAAAACAGATCTGGAGATAACAGGGTCGGAATTTACAAGACATGTGTAGCGGCCAAAGTGTTCTTCTCGCACGCCTTTAATCCGCAGACTCCATTCTTCACGTGCTGTGTGGATAACTCTGAAACTTCTGTCGCCGTTCATGACTTTCTTCCTCAGACTGATTACTTGCCCTTGTTGATCTAACCACGCAACCTGATAATTATCCTTAAATAAATGACTGTATTTAACCAGGGCATTTTATAGATCGATGTGTCAAAACAGACACTGACTTTTAATCATGACAAAAAAAAATCCTAAAAAGTGAATTTAAGGTTCCTATTCATTTTCTTAAATAGGCGTATTTTACGTCCGCTTTCACCTAGATGATATAGTATTTTTATCATCAGAAGCAGTTATGATTTATTGTTAGACATTTGTGTGTGGGTGTATTTTGTGGGATAGAAATTGGCCAGGGCTACCATATGGTACAATTGTATTTTAATAACTCTCCCGTCACATGGTCTTTAGCTGTGAGGGTACCGGGGCATCCGGAGAAACCCCATGACACTGGGCAGGCGATTATACAAACTTAGGAAGTCGGAGTAGAACAGTATGACGTTAAGCCCCATTTCATTTCACAAACCACGCCACAAATATCATGATGTAAAGCGCACGACCATACGACTTACTTGTGTAGTTTGTATTCTAAGTACTGACTTAGTTAACTGAGAAACGATCCGTGCAAAAACATCTTAATTTAATTAAAATAATTTGGAAAGAAGTATGGACACTGGGATTTTGGGTAAAAAAAAAGAAAAAAAAAGAAGTAAATAAATAATCCATCTTTAAGAACAATTTAAAATATCTAACCTTATGTTTTTTAAGGTGATTAACTTTACAAGGTAATATAATTGTTCCTCCGATGGACGATGTTATATCTCCTGGAGCTGATAGAAAGTGAGTATTTTCATCACCTGGTAAGAACAAAGTATGATAGATAATTAAATAAACAGTCAGATAAGGTTCCTTGATGAAAAGCGATTCGGTTTAATGGATATCTGCGGTACCTCTAGAGCTAATTAATGCAGCTCACCGTGGTTCCGCCGCTTTCCGCTTTTACAACCCGACAAGTGGGTAAGTCGCATGTATTCTCTATACCAGGGTCTGACAGTTTAACCCCTTCCTAACATAGGCATGCACGTAAGAATGTAATATATATTTCGAACTTCTTTTAAAGTCGGGAATTATGTTTGTAAAAATACTTAAAAAAGGATTAAAAAAAACCCAGATATTTTTCAGTGTCTAAAAATAGTTAATTATGTGTATAGGGCTTTATTTTAGTCCTAAGAAACTATCTGGCCTGTTTATCAGGCTATTTAATGTAAAATAGGAGCCTGATTTTTCGGAGACCCAGTGAAAAACGCCTTTAGAGGGATTTTCTGTTTTGAGTAAAATTTGGTGTGTATAGGGTATATATCTATTTCTAAATTTTTAGTTCCACAGATAGAGATAACTGTTTATAGTGCCATTTATTATTCCAAATGGAGGGGGGGGGGCTAAGTGGATAAAACGCTGGTTCTCTAGCCTGGAAGTCAGGTATTCGATCCCTGCGTTGATCGAGAAATTTCATTGGGATTTCCGACGTGGTTTACCCCTTGTCAGTGAGAAAAACAGAGGTCCTCTGAATACATTGGCGTGCACGTTACAGACCCCTTGGAAGTTGGAATTCGATAAAAGAGTAGGCGATAGTGCCGCTGCGTTGGGAAAATTTCCCTCATTGCGCGCTTTATGGCGTATGCCCGTCTTCATTAGCCCAGTCGGGGTAGAACAGTAGGACGTTAAACCCCGTTTCATTTCATTTGAATAAGTAGAATGTTACTTTACGTTTAGGAAGGAATTTTAAATTACAAAATTGACATTTTCTATTTACCTGGTATAATAAGTGATATGGTCATTGCATAATTCCCAGGACCTGTAACTCTACATTCATAATCCCCAGCATCCGCCACTTCCAGTTTCCTTATTGTTAAAGACCACGTGGCACTACTGAGCACGTTGCGGATACGATATTTAGAGCTTTGTGTGAATTTATTTGTACCAATTGATATTGGAAATGGATCTGATAATTTTCTCCACACAACCTAAAATTAAATTGCAATTTAACAGTTTAAACAAAATTTGAATTAAGCCATTGTAGGTCTTATTTAAGACAAATACGTATGGTGTACAAATCAAAACCCATGCCAAACATATATAGTCCGGGACTCTATGGGCGAAACAAAAACTCTAAACTGCAGGTGGGGCGCAGGGTGGTGGAAGAGCGGGCGATGACTTCTACATGAGATCAAAAGGGGTGGAATGCTCAGTCATATTGATAAACTTAGTTGTTTTTACTTTGAAAGACAAAGACTTATGGGGTCAAATCAAACCTACAAACCAAATGTAGCCCGGGAATCAATGGGTGAAAAAGAAACTTTAAACTGCAGCTGCGACCGGGGGAGTGAAAGAGCTGGCGATGACTTCTTCACGAGATCGAATGGGTGGAATTCTAACTCATATAGATAGACTTTTACTTTTAAAGACAAAGACTTATGGGGTACAAATCAACCCCGCAAAATACATCCGGGGCTCTATTTGTGAAACAGAAACTCTAAACTAATACAAATCAAACCTCCAAAGTACATATAGTCCGGGAATCGGTTGGTGAAACAGAAACTATAAACTTCAAATGGGACCGGGCGGTGATATCGACATGAAATCGAACGGGGTGGAATTCTTAGTATATAGATCCAAACTAAGGCTGGTATAACACCTAATTAATAGAACGAACTAGTGTCTTGCACTAAATTTAGGGTCAGTCTTTTGGGAATTCAGTCCGTCTCCATCAGACTGATTGGTTTAGAAAAATAATACGTTAAACTCCATTTCATTTCATTCATTCATTCATTCATTCATTCATATACTTGGAACCACAGAGATTGTTGAATTGCTTACATTTTCATATAAACACCGGGTACTTTTTTCCCATATTGTGAGTCCACTGACCCTTGCCGTCTTTAGTCGAATTGGTCCATATGACTTTGGCTACTGTATATATAAAGAAAGGAGCTAAAGGGCGATTCAGTGAGTAGGGCACCGGCTCACAAACCAGAGGCAAGGGGTCGAAGAAGTTCCCCATGTCTGTGGTGCAAGACGGAGAGCTTGACTAGGTACATTGTCTAGTCGTTCGGATGTGACGAGAACCCGAGGTCGTAAAAGAATAATCGACAGTTAGAATCCAATTGCTATCTGGTAAAATTACCTCATAGTACACTGTATAGTGTATACCCATCTCCATTAGCACGATTGGTGTTGGAAAGTAGGACGTTAAACCCCATTTCATTTGATTCATTTATTTATATCCACATCGAATTTTTACAAAAAGAAATACTTAAACTTACCGTTCTCCCACCTGTATTGGTCACCTTACATTTTAAAACAGCATCTCCACCAAGATTATATTTAGCATCTAATGATTGGATATGAAACTTGGGAATGTGAACGCCAGTAACTGAAAATCAAAACAGATATATATGGCAAAAAACAAACTTCAATTTAAATTTCCGTACTTAGATTTGAATGAATGCCGAATGCGATGTCTACCGAAATCGAGGTGTTTTAATTCTTCGGAAAAGAAAAACACCAGTAATTGTGAATGAAAACAGGTGTACATAGCAAAAAAAAAACCACATTAATTTCCATACTTTTATAAAAGATCTAAGTCAATGACGAATGCGATGGCCGAAATTCAGTTGTTATTTTACTTCAGAAATGTGTTCAGACTAGACATGAAATGACATGAAATGGAGTTTAAAGTCCTACTGTTCTGCTCCGAATTGGGCTAATGAAGCCGGACATACGTCATACAGTATGCTATGAGGGAAATTTTGCCCGGCCAGCGGCACTACGGTCTACTCTTATATCGAATTCCAACTATCAATGGATCTTTTACGTGCACGCCAATGTGTACACGGGACTTTGGTTTTTCGTCCCATCCGAACGACTGTTGAATCCGTTGACTAGCGATCATTCGTGGTTATTCCATTAAATGCATTAAAGATGGGTTCCCAGAAAAGTATTTATCGGGTTGGTATTTCCAATAAAAGTATTTCAATTTTGGTATATATGGAAAGTAGAGATATCCAATCTTACTAGAAAAATACTGGATTCCCCGAAAAACATTCATGGAGCGTATACAGGACAAAAATGCAAGGGTTCCCCTAATCAACAGCCCGACGATTATGAACTTTTTCACGCGTGATGTCAAAGGTCACAAGCGAACATTGAGCGCTTGATGTAGTACAAGTTGATAAACTTTATGAAGAGTTAGACGTACAATACTTTCTGAGATAAAAATGACGGAAAAAGACGCGGGTAGTGGATTTATTTAGGATTCGATATTTGTAATAAATAGTAAGCGATTAAAGACAACATCGTCTTATGTATGCAATGAATTCTCCTCTGACTCCCAAGACGTGACGTAAACATGGCCTGGTTTGATCGAATTTTAATAGCAGGGCAATTACAATGTTTGAGAAGGATTTGAAGCATAATTATGACAAATTAATCAGTTTGAATATGTTTTTAGTCCATATATACCATTAAATCACCCAGTTTGTACGCGGGAACCCATCTTTAAAACAATGATAACGCCAGGCACTGTGGTGTGTCGAGTAATATGTTCCCAAAGATTAAATTCAAAACCATGTGGTCCCAATGATACACAAACGTCAAGCTGAGGATACGATGTGGTAAGAACAATGCGCAGAATAGGAAGTTCGGTTATTATCGAAGCGGGAGCCACGGTGGCTCTGTGGGTATGGTGCTGGATAGATCATTAACCATGACGTCCATATATCAAGTTGTTAGTAGTGCAGGAAAAAGGGGCGGTTCTTCAAGAAAAATCCGTCTAGTTGCTGGGATGGGACCAAAAACCGGGGTCTCATGTATACCTTTCATAGTGCACTGCATAAGGTCTGTCCGTTTTGATTAGGTCGGTTTCAGCAGAAGCATAAGACGTTAACCCGGTTTGTGTAGAAAAATTGGACGTTAAACCCCATATCATTTCATTTCATTTACATAAAATTGGATATGTATTACGTGAAAAAGCCGTATTAATATTAAACTGTTTTTGTTGGAATTCTTAAGATAATTTGATATCTCTATAAAAATAATGCGCACTATGTTCGTCATTAACAAAATGTCATTGTTATATAATTATTGACATTTCAACACGCAGCATGCACAGAAATCATATCGATAAACATGCCCGCAGCAGATGACAGCACGTGGGTGGTTCGCAATAGATTTCACATCTCCTTCGGTGCGTTTAAAATCAAATTAAACAAATTAAATTGATTGTTTCAATGGCATTTAGTAATTGAAATGGAATATACAGGTCACAATTCTACTAGGCTTCTCTCGTCATCATCATTGCTTGATAATAACTAGAGAAGCCTAGTCGAAACGTCGCTCAGTAATAAGCAGTAATTGTTATTCCATTGATAATGACTAGAGAAGCCTAGTCGAAACCTCGCTCAGTAACAAGCAGTAATTGTATTCCATAGAATTGTGACCTCAATATAAATGAAATGGAGTTGTGATTAAATGCCTACGTTTCTTCGCTAACTGGGCTAATGAAGACTTGCATATATCAATCAGTTTGTTATCAGGGACATTTTACTATGACAGCCGAGTATCCGCCTATACTTCGTCAAAAGTAGTTATTTCACGGCGGTCCATGGACGCGCCTCCCTTCGTTGAAAGGTCTAGGGTACCCCCTTCCCCAAGAGAGAAATGGGGTTTAACGTCCGCTCGACACAAACTAGGTCATTTCGGGACTAACACATGGATCAATTTTATTTCATAAATTCGCTTGCGCGTAGGTGCCTTTAGCAGCGGGAGGAAACCGGAGGACCCGGAGAAAACCCATGAGGGTGGACAGGCGATTCAATGACAGACCTTATGATACCGCGCGTACGTTCTAACCATTCGGCCATCCAACCCCACAGCCCTTCCACTAGCTGCGTGATTGCGATTGTACATGTTGGTATCAGTATTTCGTCTCATCCGAAGGATTAGACGCTGTTCCCTGCTATACCGCCACGCACGAAAATCCAGAGGAACTTCCTCGGCCAGCACCGGGGATCCCCCTTTAGTGAGTATGCGTACCCTACCTAAATCAGTCAAGTATTCGCTGTACATGATTGGTTGTAATTATATCAACCAATAGAGAGAGGTTTAATTACACTTTCGGGGTTAATAACAATCACGCCTTGTACATGAAAAACGTGGGAGTCTGTTTCAAATGTGCACGCGACCTTCATCGACAAGATAAATATGACTTGTCAATAAATTGCTAGTGTTTTATTTCCGTGTTGAAGTGGAAATAGATACTATAAAACCAAAAACTTTGAAGTTGAAGAAACAATAACTCCACAATGTTGTGAAAATATACAAACTTGAGTGCTCATGTTTTGCTAATTGGTACGATTTCGATCTTTCTTGAACACAAAATACGAAACTATGCACCACAAATCCATACAATGATGGAAATGAATCCCATAAAATAGTGAACTAAGCACGTTTTGTTTGGTTATTAAGGACGACCATCGATTAGTACCATAAAATGTATTTGTTGATGAAATCTAATGGTAATTGAGTTTACAGTGTCATTTTTGTTCTTCAAGATCAACTTTAAGATATCGATCGACAACATCATTTTTTCCGACGTGGTTTCCTCTTGTCAGTGATGCAGGACGGAGGGTCTGACAAGGACAGCTGTCTAGTCCTTCGGATGAGACGAAAAACCGAGGTCCCGTGTAAACATTGGAATGCACGTAAAAGATCCCTTGGCAGTTGGAATTCGATATAAGAGTAGGCGATAATGCCGCTGCCCGGGCAAAATTTTCCTCATAGCACACTGTATGGCGTATGCCCGTCTTCATTAGCCCAGTATAGGAGCAGAACAGTAGGACGTTAAACCCCATTTCATTTCATTTCATTTCATTACAACATCATTTCAGCCTGAATGGTTCCGGTGGACACGTGGTCTTAACCGCCATGTGCAGGATGTTAGGTCTGGCACCAATTGAATTGGTTCCAACTTTGTTTACCTAATTCTCGTGGTTTCATTTCTTTACCAAAGAGGCTGACACGTCCAGGGGCGTACCGCCTGGGGGGGGGGGGGGGCTACGCCAGCAAAAACTCATCCCGCTCAGATTTAGAAAATCAAATTGTCCCGCGTGGTTCTCCCTTGTCAGTGATTCAGGACGGAGGGCCTGACAAGGACAGCTGTCTAGTCCTTCGGATGAGACGAAAAACCGAGGTCCCGTGTAAACATTGGAATGCACGTAAAAGATCCCTTGGCAGTTGGAATTCGATATAAGAGCAGGCGATAGTGCCGCTGCCCGGGCAAAATTTTCCTCATAGCACACTGTATGGCGTATGCCCGTCTTCATTAGCCCAGTATAGGAGCAGAACAGTAGGACGTTAAACCCCATTTCATTTCATTTCATTGCATTACAACATCATTTCAGCCTGAATGGTTCCGGTGGCCACGTGGTCTTAACCGCCATGCGCAGGAAGTTAGGTCTGGCACCAATTGAATTGGTTCCAACTTTGTTTAACCTAATTCTCGTGGTTTCATTTCTTTACCAAAGAGGCTGACACGTCCAGGGGCGTAACGCCTGGGGGGGGGGGGGCTACGCTAGCAAAAACACAGCCCGCTCAGCATTAGAAAATCAAATCGGCCCACCATGTCAATAAAACGCCACCCCCTCTAGAAGCAAACTAAGGAAAATTTGCCCGCATAATCTCAAAATTCGTATTTCCAAAATAAAGTACAAAAAGACAGACAGTGATCATCATTATTTACATGTGATGTAAGATATTCACTTTCTACTTATATGTACTGGGCAATGTAGCTACGGTACGCTGGAGTTTCCCCGTGAGCACGGAGTAACTTCACCTAATACTTGACAATACGATCTTTTATAACAACCCTCATGGAATATCGCCCCAATTCACCATGACATAAGGCAATGGATGAATTCTTAGGCAGAAAGAAAGAAAACTAGGTTTGATTAACGACAGTTTGAACCTTGCCAATCGTCGCTATCACCAGGTCTGTCGGCGCAGATCGTCTTGCGAGCTACCTTCTTGCAGTTTCAGTAAATATAGATAGAAATTATATATTGGCATGTAAAAGTCAAGGATACCAAAAGTCTGATACTGGCGATCTTGTTCAGGACAATCACATCAGTGAGGTCCTTTTCTAAGTAGAGAATTTGCAAATCCTCCAATCGGCCCTGCTTCATCACAGATCACAGGACTGATTTTACTAGCTTGAACTTAGAAAAGGAACGTTCATAGGGATAGTATATAATGATTAATAATTAGAAAATCAGATAGACGGTGGGGAAAAAATAGGAACATATTCCTTCCCCTTGGTGTCAGAAATCTGTAAAAAAAATGTCCCAGTGTTCGTAAGTTCAGAGAGGTCCTTGGTAACGTGACACCGGAAAGCACGTAATTCACTGGCCATAGAGTCAATGTCAGGACGGATCTCTTCTGGGATCATTTTGTGTATTTTCTCAATATCAGAATGAAGGAATTTCTCAGTATAGGGTTGATTTATATAATTTATCAGCGGTTGAACCACTTCTTCAGCAGTGTACCCTATGTTAGTCGCGAAATGACAGACTTTCTATCAGAGCCCGCCTTTCCCATCTTTGATTGGATCACCCAGAAAATGATATCGGTAACTATATATTTGGGGGCGTGGTTTCCCCTTATCAGGGATAACGTATATTCGCTCACATGGAACGAAATACTGAGGTGCCGTGTACACATTCATGTGCACGTAAAAGAACCCTTGGCAGTTGGAATTCAATATAAGAATCTGTCGTAATGCCGCTGTAGGGCAAAACTTCCCTCATAGCACATATGCCCGTCTTCATTAGCCCAGTCGGTGCAGAACAGTAGGGCGTTAAACCCCATTTCATTTCATATAATCGAGGTTATTAATGAAATAAATATAATATGTTTCAGTGGTTTGTATACATTACCAGGCATGCGTGTATATCATATGTTTTAGATGTTTTATTGCGTCTAAAGAAAATATACACGGATGTAGAAAAAAACAGTGGCGCCAAAGAATTCTGCCTAATATGTTTTCCAGGAATAAATAAATACACGTGGTACTACGCTCTATTATATGTATATGATAGATGTGCCAGTGATATAGAGGGCATGTGGATGCAGGCTATTCTACGACAGGAGAAAACCATGCCGTTCACTATAGTCCCCGACCGGTAAAAACAAAGACACGACATTAATATATATATATATATATATATATATATATTTGGCAGAGAAAATTCAAACTGAATATGCAATTATATTTTCCGTACTGACAAAGTAATTTGTAGACTGTTTAGATTCAATGCACCAGTTTAATTTCATTTCATTTAAACAAAAAACAAAAAACTAGCCGTCCCAGATATATTTCACCAAATCCACAGTGCAAATCAAAATGCGTTATATTAGGGGAACCACGATGGCTCGCTGATCTGGCTAGGTACCGTGTTCGATCCCTATGTTGACCGACAAAGTTCATCGGAATTTTACGGCGTGTTTCGACCTTGTCAATGGTGCAGGACAGAGGGCCCAACAAGGGGCAAAGATAGTCGTTCGGTGGGACGGAAAACCGAGATCCCGTGTACACATTGGCGTGCACGTAAAAGATCCATTGACAATGAGATGTCGATATAAGAAGAGTAGGCCGTAGTGCCGTTGTCCAGGTAAACTGTCCAGGTAAACTGTCCCTTATACATGTAGCACACTATGGCGGATGCCCGTCTTCATTAGCCCAGTCGGTGTAGAACAGTCGGACGTTAAACCCAATTTCTTTTCCAATTGAGTTTCTTAACCCGCAGTGTATGATTAATCGACCATTTCCGAACATATCAATAATGTAACCTGAAACTTTGAGATAAGCTATTAAACGGGCCTTTAATTTATATGTTTAAACTCATTTTCATCAAATGGTACTCTGTAAAATCGGATATGACAGTGAAATGGTATGAAAAAATACGACATTGCTGATATTTTGAAAATTATCACGATAAAGAAAAAAATTACGAAGATTCTAAGACGTTCGTGGTGGGGTGTTTTTTTAAACCTAAACATGTTTGAACTGCTCTATGAAGATGAAAACAAAATGCTAACAAACCTTGTCCAATGAAACATAAAAATCCGATCATTCCCGTAATCAATCTAACGACTTCTTTCAGGTGTGTATCTGTCGCTGCCATTTTAGCCATTTTGTTTTTGATTTTAGTCCAGATGGATGTATTCTGGTTCTGTGTTCTAATAAATTTCCCACTGAGATTATCTGTCTGGGTTAATCTCTAGATTAAGATAATCTAATATTTGTGTTCTATAATAACCGTGATATATCTGAGATGGCGGTCCAAAGTATTCAGATTTTATCAAATGTTGATTTAAGATGGTTAGTCTCAAACAATTCTCGTGATTTACACAAAAGGTCTTTTCTCGATAGTTTTAGAACATAATTTCTTGTGAAATTTTTTTTTTACCTCAAACTTTTTACGTACTCTTAATTAATGCTTATTTTTTTCTGCAACATAAATCCACATCAGAATTCACAAAACTTTAGAACATAGTTTCTGACAAAAATAATCTCTAATTGTTGACGTTCTCTTATTTAATACTTCTGTAACATAGATCCACATTCACTGTAATCACAAAACTTTAAAACCATAAATGTTTGTTTTTTGCTTCTATTAAGTATAGTTAACCGACAAATGTTCTGCGCTGTAAGTTTTATCCACACCTTCTAAAGAAGTAATAGAGTACCGCAAAACTTTTCTACATAATATCAGAAGTTGCGATCTCTTTGCAGTAAGTTGTAATAAGTCAAGACGAGTATGATATATATATATCTACTTATATACTGTTTCTTTACTCTGTAATTAAACACAGCGGAACCTGAATTCCTGAAGTTAAGTAGAACGGAAGCTGGTGGTCTATATTATATATGTAAATAAGTCAGTATATTATCTATAACTCATAGACGTTTAATTAACACCCTTACGCTATGGAACTATAGGCATGTTTTTAATTAACGGTCGCGGCATATACAACCTTTGATTCCAGATAAATGAATTATACCGTTATGGCATTCATTATCAGAAAACTAATTAACTCGTACAATTAACTTAACACCTAAAAACAACGAAACTACTACTAGGTAGGCCTATGTTTTGGATTCCAGGTGAATAAATTATAAATTACCGTAGAACTAATTATCACAACTATAGCTAAATTATATCATATATATTAATTAATTCTTCCGTAATAACTGTCATAAATTTATTAATACGGTTATATAGGCCTGTTGATGCCTTATACATCGGATTATGAAGTCATGAATTAATCAACATTTCGTCATGTTTGTCTTATTCCCACGTTACCTATCGCTTAATATAATTATTTCCCGGTCATATGTGATGAAAATCACACATCAGTTTCCGACATAAATCATGCAAATGAAATAAAATAAAACTCATATTTCCGCCGGATCCTAAAAGTTCCGAAGTGTCAAGGAAATATATATATTTGAAGATGAACGGGCGTCTTGTTTGCGGTTTTACTCGTCTATGTAAAATTTTCTAACCGGAAAATGGCCGTGTTCACGGCGATAGCGCGGTTTTGTAAAAATGCCAAAATTTATGATTAATAATTAAAAGTATTGGCGGACCCAGTGAATCTGATTTAGACGTGTTGGGGAGCTTTATAAATGTATACCAAGGCAATAAATCTTGAAAGTAAAATGAAATGGGGTTTAACGTCCTACTTTACGACACCAACTGAGCTAATGTGTTCTAGATTCGAAGGGAAGGCTGTTATAAATCGGAAACTTATAATTATCGTAAAACCGGTTGCAATCAAACGCAGAGAGAGAGAGAGAGAGAGAGAGAGGGAGGGGGGGTAATATAAACTCGACACAAACCAGGTCATTTCGGGACTAACACATTGCTCAATTTTCTTTCGTAGGGGTCTTTAGCAGTGGGATGAAACCACAGGACCCGGAGAAAATCAACGAGGTTGGGCAGGCGACTCTACCCCTTGTCAGGTACAAGCGAGAAATCGAAACTACCCCACTTTACTCAATGACAGACCTTCTGATCCAACTCGCACGCGTTAACCATTCGGCCACCCACCCAATCCCCAATGAAAATAACAGAACTATTACAAGGCCTAATATAACGTGTATGAAAACCAAAGGACCATTATCTTTTTGAGTCAGACTGGGTGAATGTGAAAATGTTTCGTGTGTCATTTTTCTTCGAATCGTTTCGAAAAGAGCGGACCACTTGTGGTACTGATGGGGCGAAACCTCGGGGTCCACCTGTGTGCTGGTTGGTGTGCACGTAAACGACCCCATGTGGAAAAACCGAGATCAGAAAATAACGCGTATGCGCGTCTTCATTAACCCAACTGGTGCCCCCCAAAAAATTAGAACGTTACATCCCAGCAGGACATGGGAATAAAATATAGTATCATCGATTCTGAAGGATATTAGAAATTCTTGGAATAGAGGATCTAAAATAAGACCACTGGAGCCTGTTTCACGAAATTTTAACTAAGATAAAATCGAAATTTTAGTAATTTGATTGGATAATATTAGATTGATTTTAGTGCTTAGCCAATCAAAATTGAATTATCTACTAAAATTGGATTTTATTTTTAGTTAAAATTTCGAGAAACAGGGCCCTGTTTTAATAAACTATACGAAGTCCCGCGAAACACGAACAAATTTCATTCACCCGCTATCCAAATACGACTCGTAAATAAGTGGTGGTTAGTAAATGCGATAGGTGATAAATGCGTATAGTTTAACGAAATGGCACAAGGAATATTTGGTAATGAATAACTGCGGTACCATATTAAATAAGCTCTCTAATTCGTTGACACCCGTCAGATCCGCCTCTCACCTACACTGATGTCTCCTTGAGAGCTGTGAAGGAAGTTAATACTAACGCCTACATAATAGCATATATAGAACAGAGGAGTCGGTGTGTAGGTTTATATCGTAGAATCATCCTCGCGTATGTGTCTTTAATTCCCAGTGAAGTACGAACTGCTCAACAAAAATTAGAGAACACTTTCCGTACCAACCGCGCTTTCCGGAAAGAATAGCCCACCATACACCACTGATCACTTACATAAAATAATGCAGCCATTATTAAAGTACATGCATTAGCTGTGTGAACTGCCCAAATAAATGACAAGTGGTATCAGGTATTCTAGAAAGTGCAAACATACTCTGCTCGTACACGACATGCTTCACTATTCATACCTTGAGAGAATCTTTTGGGTGGATGATCTGGTGGGGTAAAATCAAATTGGATCAATTGAACTTCCCGAATTAAATTCTCTCAATTCTGAAAATAGTGTCAATGGAGTGAAAAGGAGAATTTCGGAGAACAATGCATGTGCCAACTGCATAAAAAATATCTCAACCAATCATGGCAGCTGAAACATATTTGTTACTTAAAATACGTCACGATTCTACTCACACCACCTTTGTTGTGACAGGACTGAATTCTGTATCACTTGATTGCAATTCTGTCAATTCGGGAGTTCCGGACTGACAATTGAGCACCCCCATGGTTTTTACAGGTTTAGTCCCTTTAAACAATTTCCCACCATTCAATCTAATGAGCCTATTATTTCCATTTTAAATAACGTTTTTTACGATGTCAGTAATAAAGACAAGTCTATGACACCTCAAATTTATTTACAATTTAATTTAACAAAGATGATAATTTACAATAAAATATCTGACAACAATCTATAAAACTTTAATGATGGGATAAACTCTATGCTGACTAAAATCAAAGTCTGGAGGAGTCTGAAAAAGAAATAACATTATTTCCTAAATCTCCAAATTTAAATTAGTCTTACATAAATGTTGTTATAAAATGAAACTAGGACAATGCCCACCAGATATCTTTACCAATGTTCCCTAAGTGTAACAACTGCACAGATAAAGACTCAATTGTAACCATCGGGCACCCTTCTGTATACCAAAGTCTAAAATTAATCTGTTTCCACATGAACAAAAAAGTGATTAAATCTGAGACAAATGAAGGGCAAGTGTCATTTCAATATCGATCCCTTGGATTTGTTTGGCACTGGATAAAACCCTAAAGTTTCTACTTCTAGTTTTTATTTCTAGTTTGCTGAAGTTGTCCTTGTGGTTGTCGAGACAAGTGGATACAGGCCATTATAAATTGACCTTCATACAGGCCTTAAAAGACTAAGTAACAAGTTGATACAGCCCTTTATTGATGTTAGACCTAGTAACAAGTTGATACAGCCCTTTATAGACCTAGTAACAAGTTGATACACTAACAGCCCTTTATAGAACTAGTAACAAGTTGATGCAGCCCTTTATAAATAAGCCTAGTTACAAACTGATACAGGTAATTCAAAAATAGGCCTAGTAACAAGTTGATATAGACCTATATAAATAGGCCTAGTAATAAGTTGATACAAACCTTTATAAATAGGCCTAGTAACAAGTTGATACAGGTCCTTTCAAATGGTACAAATTTTCTATGATAGTGACTCTTGTTCCCATTTTTAAACCAAACAATGTCTAAATATGGTAGTTCCAAGAATGATAAACCATAACAATCAATCTAGAACCTTAGCGACATAAAAAATATGAAAGTTAAATTACCACTGAATCTTTTTTATGTCCTCCAACCAGTAACTTCATCACTACAAAATTGGTTTTAGCTATCTTTATTAATGTCTGAATCTGAATTTAGAGAATATTATACATTAAAGATACATTATGGGAGATTCGATAAGGAGTTGGCAGTTCTCACTATAATAGTTAAAAACTAGATAATGTAAAGGCAATTTGCTGAAAATTTCATTCAAATTGATCCACTATGAACCGAGAACTAAGTGATTGAAATTTACGCCTAGCCTCGATCATCATTACTAAAGTCAGTATGATAAACAGCATAGTCTCGATTATCCATTTAATCGTTAAATCGTGAAGGAAAGTTATGCAGTAAATCGGCTCATAATCCTCTAAAGATCGCAGGATAGCGATGCCATCTAGAGTTGATTATGGTCTGGATAGGTTAATTAATGTCTAATTAATAATTTAGATAACATTTCAGGCCTAAAGAAAGACCTGCAATAGACAGATTTAGCTCTTGCATAATGTATGTTTAATCTCTCTACAGGATTCAAAGAGGTTGGGCTTTGGGACTAAATCTTATGATTATGCCATCCACTGTGAAAGTTCTTCAAGTGTGAATCCATTTGATTCAATACTTTTCCAGTGGCATAAAGCTCAATTATTTTCATCGTGAATCAATTATATTCACTCGACACAAATAATGTCATTTTGGGACCAACATATGGTTCAATTTTATTTCAATAATTCGCTTGCAGGTAGGTATCTTCGGCCCTACTACTTGACACGTACAAGTAGGGAATCAAAACCATGCCATTTTACTCAATGATAGACTTTGTCATTTCACACCACTAGACCACCCAACCCCCCTACATGGAACACTTTGAAACTTGTATCTTAGTCCTATACAACTATAGGATTGTCTGTGATGCATTTTTTTCTGAATCACAAACTATTACATTTACAAAGTGCATGGATAACCATGTCTACATAGTTGTAAATGTTATAATGGTTAAGTGATTGCTGTGATTATCAAGTCACTCAGTAATAAGTTAAATGTAGGATGACCCGTGCACTTTACAGAAAGTTGGTCTCGACACGGCTAAATGTGCACGCTTCAGTTGCGTGTCTCGAACTGATTTGAGTCGATAAATAGCCATGGCACGTGCAATTCTCTACAATTAATATATCAACTATTACAGCCGTAAAAAATCTATTGTTGACGATTTTGAATAGCAGTAAAATTTAGCTTCTTGGTTATTACAGCAGCTTTAGTAATTACGTTTGTTTTATTTTTTAAATTGCTTTATCATTAACTGTACCGTTAAGAGCGGCATCTTTTGGTTTAGTACAAATACTATCTCTGAATCACTTTCTTTAGCAGGAACATGATACTAGCAGTAGTTTCATTTTACTTTTACAAGTTTCTTAAAACAATTGTTGAGTTGTCTAAAGTGCTTATTTCTAAATTCAATTTCTTGTTCTAGCTTTCTGTTATGTTTCGTAAAAAAGTAGTCTTGATTATCCCGACCTGTCAATCAGACGTAGAATGGTCGATAGACTGGTTAAGCGAGACTAATTTCAAAACAAGGGCACGTAACCTATCTTTTACTCAAAAGTGTCTGGATGTTATGGACGCAACTTGGAACCAGTTTTCAGTCTATTATTTATAGATGATTAATGGTCATAGCTTATTAAGTACAACATGATCGTTTATTTAGTGACTATAATTGTGTGAAACTGATTTGAGGCTTGGCATATATATAAATATTGTGGCGTAATTGTCGAGATATTTGGAGATATTTATTTATGGTGGGTCACCCTATTAAATGTACAGATTATAATATGAACTCACCTCTTCTGTTTGAACTGGTAAACTTTCTAACAGAGCTTTAGCTTGATGAAAACATTTACATGCAGATCCATAAACATCAAAAGCTGTTGGCTCGGGTTCATAACGACGTAAATCAGACATTTCCTGTTGAATACAAAAGAGAGCGTGAAGACTTCAAATCTACAGGTTGTTTTTGACTTTGGTTCAGATAAAGTCTTGATTTATATTTATTCTGTCTGTAACTAAAAGTTGATCTTTTACTAAATGTTAAATATATCATTGAACCGGTCTATTAAAGACCTACATTGTGCATTATGATGTACTGTGAGAAAAATTTTGCCCGGACAGCGTCACTACTGCCTACTCTTATACTGAATGCCAATTGTCAAGTGTTCTTTTACATGCTCGCAAGTTCCTTGTCAGGCCCTCCGTCTTGCACAATTGACAAGGGGAAACCCCCTCTTTAAAAGTAAACAATTTCACTAATACATTTCATATTACCTTATACTGTGCGTAATGGACCATAGGTGGTGTAACAACATTTGCAAATGGAGCGAAACGATGACTGTATCGAACTTCTTCACAATCAAAATCAAACGAAGGTTGATTCATCTTACCTCCTAGTCGAAAACCAACAACAGCCTTTAAAAACAGTAAAAAACATTCATCTATAAATTCAAAAAAATCTCAACATAAAACTTAATTATAGTTACGGATAATGTACAGATGGGGTATTTTCAGCCAGTGCTGGGATTCAATCTTGGAATATGCCCTAACCCACTCTGATGTTCTGAAGAGAAGACACCATTACCCCCCTATCATACCTTGATATCACTACTTTATACTAAACACCCACTATCATACATAAGTCATCATAGTCAACCCTCTATCATTCCCTATAAGGGGAAACCACATTTGAAAATCTTCCGGAAATGTCTCAGCCAGTAACAGAAAGGAACCCACGACCTCCTTGTAAGTTAGTCAGCAGCCTTACTCACATGAGCTAATGTGGCTCCCCATAGCCATACTAACATACAGGAATGTCAAACTCATTTCGATTCAGGGGCCACGTGAACTAAAATTTTACATGAAGTGAGCCAGAGGTAAACAAAAATATCAAGATAAAGAAAATTCTATTGATTTATTGGACTAAAATTGTTTGACATCCCTGTTTTATATTATCCACATTCCACAGTCTATGATAAGTCATAAAAGTAACCATTGCACCCCCCCCCCACTATAACTTGATATTATCAGATCCCAGTGAAACACATACCTTATAATATCCACCAAACATTTGTTGTTGAGCTTGAGCTATAGTTATCTCTTTACTTAAAGTCTTAGTTCTCTTTTTCTTCTTATTCTTCTTGTTACTTCGACCTTTCTGAGTTGGATCTATAATTACAGAATTATTCAAACCTTCATTCTAGAATAGAACTATCACAATCCCTTGAGGGACTTACAGAACTTCAACAAGATTCAATTTCATGTCACTTGATTGCAAGGTGAGGAGAGAGAGAGAGAGAGAGAGAGAGAGAGTCTTCAGCAGTGGGAGTAAACCGGATGACCCAGAGAGAGACACAAACTAGGTCATTCCGGGAATAAAAAATTGGTTAAATTTTATATCAATAATTCGATAAAGTGTAAAGGTGTTTAGCAGTGGGAGGAAACCAGAGGACCCCGAAGAAAACCTACGTGATTGGACAGGCGACCCTACTCCTTGTCAGGTACAACTAAGGAATCGAAACCATGCCACTTGACTTGATGACAGACCTTATGATCTAAAGTGTACAAGTTAGAGTAACCGACATATAACATACCTGATGCCATGTCATTCTCCAGTAAGAAATTATCAGCTCTGTGTAGAGTAGAGACTAGCCAAGCAAACAACAGCTCATGTAAATACCTGAAATACATTTAGTAATAAATGATTTTTGTAAAGGGCCATAACTCTTTGACAGTGATTATTGGAAATGGCTGGAAATCAAAAGCAATAGGCTTCTTCGTGTCATGAAATTAAACACAAATTGCAAGTCAATTGACCAAGGGTCATAACTCTGACGATAATTATTGGAAATAGGCTTCTTCTTCTTCATATTATCAAATTAAACACTGTGTATTAATTTCAAGTCAACCTTATTACAACTTTAGCCTCTAGAACAGTAGTTGTTAACCTTTTTTGCCAACAGCACACCTTGGAACACATGAAAAAATAGCGGCACACCTCGATAAATATATTTGAAAAAAAATTGGATTTTAGCAAACTAAAATTATGGTAAGTCAAACGGCATACAACCGTAGACACAGACTGACACACATAGAATGACTCAAACTAAATAAAGAAAAACACAGCTATGAACTTATTAGTAGACACCAGTGAATACTCAGTTGGGGTCACATGGTTTTTCGCATTTTCTTAGTGCGCCGTTCAAAATTCCGCGGCACACTTAGGAACACTATTGAGAATCACTGCTCTAGAACGTCCATAAGTAGATATGATCCACGAATGAATGGTGGGTGTGGGGTCCGCAACTTTATTTCTTGTGGGTGTATAAAAATTGACCGGTGGCCAAGTTTTTTTGACGTACATATTCTGACTCGAGTACAACACCATAACTTACCAGTAGACATAATGATATTCATAAAGAGCGTATAACTCTAGTTCGAATCCAGATAGTGTATAATATATCATAGATTGTAGAGAATGATATAATACCCAGGTACCAAAACATGCCAGATGATTTCTACTTGGTTCTGTTTTTACTAAAATACCATGAAGATAGGCATCCACTTTATCAGCCTAAAATACAGTAGAATGGAAAGTGGGTTAAGGTCTTCTGTAATTTTGGGACTAACATGCAGTAAATGTCATTTTTATGATAATGTGTGCAATACTGAGGGTGAGAATTTTGCCCAGACAGTGGAATGAAGATAGATATTCACTTTATCCACCTAATACAAAATGGCTCTAGATACAATATTTTTTTGTAAATTATATATTTATAAAATTGCAGTTTATTTTCTAAGTAACAATTTAAAAAAAAAAACCAGGCTTTCAGATCAAATCAATTATTATTACAAATCAATTCTATATTTCCAAAGTATATTGTTTTTACAACAATACTTACCTCTTCCTGGAGATTAGCTAATTCTTCTAGAACATGTGCCCACTTGTCTCGTTGTCTCGCTCTATTATGACCAGTTATCTGTATCAACGTACAAATAGGTCGGACAGCTTGACTTAACAATGCATCAACATATTCTTTAGCTTGGGAATTATTGTGTAGACTGCACCTTTAAATATAAATAAGAATGCTAAATACAAAGATACAAGACAAAAGAGTTAGCTGGAGCTGTGGTGACTCTGTGAGTAAGACCCTGGCTAGATAACCAGAAGGTCTCAGGGTTGGCTTCCAGTGATGGCCGAGATTTTTATGCTGCACTTTCTGGCGTGGTTTCCACTTGTCAGTAGTGAAGGGCGGAGGGCCTGACAATGAAGAGTTTCTATTCAATCGGATACGATGAAAAACTGAGGTCCCATGTACCCTTTGGCAAGCACATCAAAGAACCCTTGACAGTTGGAATTCGAATTTAGAGTAGACCATAGTGCTGCTGTCTAGGCAAATTTCCTTCACAGTACACTGTATGGCATATGCCTGTCTTCTTTAGTCCGGTAGGTGCAGAAAAGTAGGATTTTAAACCCCATTTCATTTCATTTTCAAAGAGTTAGCTGCATAGACTTTGATCAAGAACTAGAAGCGGTATTCAATGTTCTATATAGAAAGAGAAAGCTTATGCTGCCTTCCACACAAGAACCATCATTGATTGGACAGGGATTTTAGAAGCAAATGCTACTGCTAAAAGATATAACAAAGAGGAAAGAGACAGTGTCATAGAGTCATAGAGTGAGGAAGAGACATTTCACACTTGGCAAGGAAAAGCAACTACAAAAAAACCTGGGCAAATATTCATTCATTGTATCTTGTTAGTCTGGTTGGGGCAGGAAAAAATGAAGTTAAACAATCATTTCAAATTACAATGTATTTTAGTAGATTTAAACTTCCCTGGTTAAGTCCTGATTAGAGTCCAACTTACTTTGCTGATAATGCTGGAGGTGCTATAAAGTTTCTGATAGTATCTTTCATATATTCTACAATAGGTTGATTACCAAATACTCTTCTATTGGTAGGTAAAACAGCTAACTATAAAACATTATATACATAATATACATCAATAGATCAAATACTCTTCTATTGGTAGGTAAAACAGCTAACTATAAAATATTATATACATAATATACATCATGTTTATAAATTTATCAGATTAAAGCATGGGAGGGAGAGTGAAATGGGGTTTAACGGCCAGTTGACACAAACTTGGTCATTTTGGGACAAACACATGGTTTTATGATTTGCTTGCAGGTAGGGGTCTTTAGCAGTGAGAAGGCACAGGAGGAACCAGAGAAAACCCACAAGGTTAGATAAACGACCCTACTCCATGTTGAAACAACACCATTTGACTCAACGACAGACTTTAAGGTCTAAAGCGCACATTAGACTCATCGGCCACTGCTGTTGTTCTATTCCTTTCTTGTGGACAGTTTATTTGCAACCGTTGATGACCGCAAAATAACAAAGCTTGCTGGAAACCATAGAGTTTTTTTTGACAGAAATTAAGTTGTTATAAAGGATAATGTGCTATTTACTAAAAGAGTTGACCACTTCTGTTGTGCTTTTTGTAATTTTATAGCCACAGTGCTTCGATGAGTAAAATGCTAGCTCACGAAGACGGAGGTTTCAGGTGCGATTCAGGTGTTGGCCAAGAAAGTTCCTTGGGTGTAGCATGGAGGGACTGGCAAGGAAAAGAGTCTAGTCATTTGGTTGGGACTGAAAGAAGAGATCCTTTGTATACAAATGAAATGAAATGAAATGGGGTTTAACGTCCTATACTGGGCTAATGAAGACGGGCATATGCCATACAGTGTGCTACGAGGGAAATTTTGCCTGGGCAGCGGCACTATCGCCTACTCTTATATCGAATTCCAACTGCCAGGGGATCTTTTACGTGCATTCCAATACATACACAGGACCTCGGTTTTTTGTCTCATTCGAAGGACTAGACAGCTGTCCTGTATCACTGGCAAGGGGGAACCATGCTGGAAAATCTGGATGAACTTTCTCGGCCAATGCAGGGATCAAACACCCGACCTCCAGGCTAGCGAGCCAGCGTCTTAGGCACTTAGCCACGTGATCCCCCTCCTTTGTATACCATTGGCAGTCTGTCAAAGATTCCTTGACAGGAAATAAGAGTAGGCTGTAGCGCCACTGTCTGGGAAAAGTGTCCTTCATAGCACACTGTATGTCACATGGCCGTCTTCATTAGCCCAGTTGATGCAGAAAAGTAGGACTTTAAAACCCATCTCATTGCTTGGGTGAAAAAAAGTAGGGAGTTAAAACCCCATTTCATTTTATTGGTAAAGAAAGTAGGATGTTAGACCCCATTTAATTGGTGCAGAAAATAGGATGTTAAACGACATTTCATTGGTGCAGAAA